GGAGGGAAGCTGTCACAACACAACAACCACACCCTGAGTTAACGAGTTGCATGACCCAGTGTCAAGAATAGTCGAAGACGGACAACTCACCAACTGCACTGGCTAACCATTACGGAACACAATCAGCAAATCGATTAACATCCAGGTCCCCAATTACTGCTGGGTAGACAGAGGCAAATGGCGTAAAGAAACTTGCCCATAGTTTCACCCTGCCCGGGGACCGAACCTGGGACCAGTCACTTGAGAGGCGAACATGCTAACCATTACACCTGCTGACCTACAAACACATATAGACATACAAAAAGACATACACAAACATACACATAACAGACTTACAAACCTACATACACAGACCTATATAAACATACATACACAGACCTATACACAGACATACATACACAGACCTATATAAACATACATACACAGACCTATACACAGACATACATACACAGACCTATACACAGACATACATACACAGACCTATACACACATACATATACAGACCTATACAGACATACATACACAGACCCATACACAGACATGTTGGCTACACAGACCTATATATAAACACACATACACAGACCTATACACAGACATATGGCTACCAGACCTATATAAACATACATACACAGACCCATACACAGACATACAGACACAGACCCATACACATACATACACAGACCTATAGCCAAACATATATATATACAGACCTAAATACATACACATAACAGACTTACAAACATACATACACAGACCTACACACACATACAGACACAGACCTATACAAACATACATACACAGACCTATACACACATACAGACAAGCAAACACACACAAAACCCATTAAACACCTATTTCTTTCATTAATACAAACTACTTCTCTTTCAGATAACTCGCGATGGGCGGAGAACAGAGCCGGGAGGTGGGCGTGGCCAGTGGGCGGGGCGAGACTGCAGTAGAAAGGCGTGGCTCTGATTCCACACGCCCCACCTCCACCTCACCTAGGCCTTCCATATGTTCTGACGCTGACCTGCCTTATATATCCTATACTGTGAATAGGCCTATAGGAGGTAAGAGAGAGAGAGAGAGAGAGAGAGAGAGAGAGAGAGAGAGAGAGTAATAATAATTAAAGGTTTATTGAAAGATCATGACAGCCAGAAGGGTGAGACAACATACAGTTACATAATTGGTGATATGGGTCACTTGATTGACCAATAATATAAGTGATAAGCAAATATAATTACTAGGTGTGGGGAGAAGGTCATACTACAGGCCAGTTCAACAAGTGACTGTACAAAAGATAGTGGGGAGAAGGTCATACTACAGGCCAGTTCAACACAGTGACTGTACAAAAGGTAGTGGGGAGAAGGTCATACTACAGGCCAGTTCAACATAGTGACAGTACAAAAGGTAGTGGGGAGAAGGTCATACTACAGGCCAGTTCAACATAGTGACAGTACAAAAGGTAGTGGGGAGAAGGTCACACTACAGGCCAGTTCAACATAGTGACAGTACAAAAGGTAGTGGGGAGAAGGTCATACCACAGGCCAGTTCAACATAGTGACAGTACAAAAGGTAGTGGGGAGAAGGTCAAGTACAGGCCAGTTCAACATAGTGACAGTACAAAGGTAGTGGGGAGAAGGTCATACTACAGGCCAGTTCAACATAGTGACAGTACAAAAAGGTAGTGGGGAGAAGGTCATACTACAGGCCAGTTCAACATAGTGACTGTACAAAGGTAGGGAGAAGGTCATACTACAGCCAGTTCAACATAGTGGACAGTACAAAAGGTAGTGGGGAGAAGGTCATACTACAGGCCAGTTCAACATAGTGACTGTACAAAAGGTAGTGGGAGAAGGTCACACTCTACAGCTGCCGTTCAACATAGTGACTGTACAAAAGGTAGTGGGGGAGAAGGTCATACTACAGGCCAGCCCAACATAGTGACTGTACAAAAGGTAGTAAGAGAAGGTCATACCAAATAAATTCAACATAGTGACTGTGCCAAAAGGTAGTGGGGAGAAGGTCACACTACAGGCCAGTTCAACATAGTGACTGTACAAAAGGTAGGGAGAAGGTCATACCACAGGCCAGTTCAACATAGTGACAGTACAAAAGGTGGTGGGGAGAAGGTCATACTACAGGCCAGTTCAACATAGTGACTGTACAAAAGGTAGTGGGGAGAAGGTCATACTACAGGCCAGTTCAACATAGTGACTGTACAAAAGGTAGTGGGAGAAGGTCACACTACAGGCCAGTTCAACATAGTGACTGTACAAAAAGGTAGTGGGGAGAAGGTCATAGGCCAGTTCAACATACTACAAAGGTAGTGGGAGAAGGTCATACTACAGGCCAGTTCAACATAGTGACTGTACAAAAGGTAGTGGGGAGAAGGTCACACTACAGGCCAGTTCAACATAGTGACAGTACAAAGGGTAGTGGGGAGAAGGTCATACTACAGGCCAGTTCAACATAGTGACTGTACAAAAGGTAGTGGGGAGAAGGTCACACTACAGGCCAGTTCAACATAGTGACAGTACAAAGGGTAGTGGGGAGAAGGTCATACTACAGGCCAGTTCAACATAGTGACAGTATAAAAGGTAGTGGGGAGAAGGTCATACTACAGGCCAGTTCAACATAGTGACTGTACAAAAGGTAGTGGGGAGAAGGTCATACTACAGGCCAGTTCAACATAGTGACAGTACAAAAGGTAGTGGGGAGACGGTCATACTACAGGCCAGTTCAACATAGTGACTGTACAAAAGGTAGTGGAGAAGGTCATACCACAGGCCAGTTCAACATAGTGACTGTACAAAAGGTAGTGGGAGAAGGTCATACTCACAGGCCAGTTCAACATAGTGACAGAAAAAATATGTTTACTGGGGAGTGAATACACTGGTTTATTACAAGTTGTTGATAATTTTTACAATGGTTGGGACTGGGCTGTTCTTATAGCGATCAGTTCGTGCACGTATGGGCTGGATGCGGTTGTGGTGTCGAACAGCAATTCTCGGGCTAGGGATCTCAGGTGGTAGTAGGAGCCGGTGTCGAGGATGGTGTAGAAGCTTCTTACCAAATTTGCAGATGAGGTCGTGGTGATGGTCAGTGAGAGTCGAGAGGGTCAGTGTGTTGAGCGCTTCTTGATATGTGGAGTAGGAAGGGGAGAGAATAATCTTGCATGCCCTCTTTTGCACTTCTTTTTCTAGGTGTTTACGTTGTGTGGCATTTAGGGAGGAAGACCAGGTAGAGGAGGCGTAGGTGAGCTTTGTGTGTGTGTGTGTGTGTGTGTGTGTGTGTGTGTGTGTGTGTGTGTGTGTGTGTGTGTGTGTGTGTCAGACTGTCACTCACTCACACAAAACACCACAACCAGAACAAGGTGTCAAATGCCTTAACATAAACAACTAAGTTTTTTCTCACTCAAACAACAACAACGGCAGTGACAAAAGGCTGGCGAACGTCTGCCTGGCGAAGACATTATCACTTGTGTATATTGTAAACACCTTTTTATTTTATTTTATCTATTTAGTGATGTTAATGACAGGAGGTTGGCGAAAGTCTGCCTGGCGAAGCGTTCATTAGCTGTGTATGTATGTCCACACACACACACACACACACACACACACACACACACTACACAACCCGGAAACAAAACATAACTTGATGGAGATATAAAGAGTTGCCAAGATCCTTCAGTGATATATGATGAACAGAGAGAGAGAGAGAGAGAGAGAGAGAGAGAGTAAACAAACAAACAAACAAACAGCAGCTGCCTTGTTTATTATCGACAGTAAACAAAATAATCTCTTGTTTAACGAGGTAGTTTGTGTTGTTTAACGGGCTAGTTAAATTTGAGGTCCCCGGGGGTCAGGTAAGGTCATGCCCTAAACACTTAAAGGCTTCCTGGTATATTAAGGTCAAGGCTATTTCAGGGTTGAGTTAGGGGGCTAGTTTATTGAGCACCACCTTGCGTCCAATAGGGAAGCAATGCTGAGTCTATGCTTGCGTTGTTGACTCTTGCATTAAGGGCGTAAGTGCCTGAAGGACTGTGACAAGTGTGTGTGTGTGTGACAAGGTGGTGGTGGTGGTAGTGGTGATAGTGGTGATTGTAGTGGTGATTGTAGTGGTGATTGTAGTGGTGATAGTGGTGGTGATAGCAAGGACACATTCCACCACACACTTGGCACACATCACAACCAATGGCCACTTCTCTCTCTCTCTCTCTCTCTCTCTCTCTCTCTCTCTCTCTCTCTCCTTCCTTCGCCAGCGCCGCCGTAACTGAACGCCAGGGTAGGGAGAGCAGAGAGGGTGTTAGGTTAGAATTCTTCACATGATTTACTTATTCATCGGTAAGGTTTGGTGGTGTTGGATGGAAGGTCAGGTCAGGTCAGGTCAGGTCAGTTTAGGTCAGGTCAGTTTAATTTAGGTCAGGTCAGTTTAGTTTAGGTCAGGTCAGTTTAGTTTAGGTCAGGTCAGTTTAATTTAGGTCAGGTCAGTTTAATTTAGGTCAGGTTTAGGTTAGGGTTAGGTTAAGGTTAGGTTAGTTTTAGGTTAGGTTAGGGTTAGGTTAAGGTTAGGTTAGTTTTAGGTTAGGTCAGTTTAGTTTAGGTTAGGTTTAGGTTAGGGTTAGGTTAAGGTTAGGTTAGTTTTAGGTTAGTTTTAGGTTAGGTTAAGGTTAGGTTAGGTTGGGTTAGGTTAGGTTAGGTTAAGGTTAGGTCAGGTTGGTGACAGTTGACCTTCACACACAGACTCGCCCAAACACACGTCACGGGGTATGCGTGGTCTACGTGGTGCAGGAGGGTCACCCCGCAGGTCACGTCGGCGGCAGCTTCAGCGCCCTCAGGAGGTGGTGGTGGTGAGGGAGGCCACCAACTACACCCTTGGCCTTGATCCTGAGTTGGCCAAGTTACAGGTATGTTGGCCAAGTTACAGGTATGTTGGCCATGTTACAGGTATGTTGGCCTTTTTGTTGGCCATGTTACAGGTATGTTGGCCTTTTTGTTGGCCATGTTATAGATATGTTGGCCTTCAGCCTTCCATTCCATCCCATTCCAGTCCATCCCGACGTTCCTGCCGATCATGAGAGGGGCGCTAACTGCTCCCTTCGCCCGAGACCCCGAGGTGTTAGAACGGCTTGACGCTGGGGCTATGGTGGCCCTGTGTCGACGCTATCAGACCCACCTGCACACCGCCGCCGCCACCACCACCCACTACCAGGATAACCTCTCTACCAAGATTAGGGATGTAAGTAGGTTAGATTTGTGTCTTACCCTACCCTAACCTAACATTTTCACCCTACCCTAACCTAACCTACCCTACCCCTGCCCTAACCTAACCTACCCTACACTTACCTGCCCTAACCCTAACCCTAACCTACCCTACCCACCCTACCTAACCTAACCCTACCCTACCTTACCTGCCTACCTAACATCAACCTCACCCTACTTCCCTGCCCCCCTTTCCCAACTACTTTCCCTTACCCTGCACCTGCCCTAACCTACTCTACCCCTGCCCCTACCCCCCTACACCACCACACTTGGCCTGCCTTCCTGCTGCCTGGCCTGGCCTGCCCTGCCCTGCACACCCTGCCCTTTCTCTGCCTACCCTACCTACCTTACCCTGCCCCCTACCCTACCCTACCCTACCCTACCTAACCTACCCTACCCCTGCCCCTACCCCTGCCTAGCCCTAGCCTGCCTACCCCTGCCCACCCCTACCCCTTTCTCTACCCCTACCTTCCCTACCCTGCCTAACCCCTACTCTACCCCTCTCCCTTACCCCTACCCCTACCCCTGCCCTACCTACCCCTGCCCTGCCCACCTGCCTTCTCTGCCTACCTTGCCTACCCCTGCCCTATACCCCTTACCCTACCCTAACCTAACCTACCCTACCTTACCCTGCCCTAACCTAACCTACCCTACCCTACCCTACCCTACCCTACCCTAACCTACCCTACCCTACCCATGGTAATAATATGCTCACATTTGTATCAATCTGGCTAAATAAACTGTAACATTTCTGTAACTGGTTCAGACACGTTACATAAATAGTTCAGTAGAATATAACCTGAGTTTTGTTACATAATTCAGAATATTTGGTAGTAAATTTTTGCCGGTAATTATGATCGTATTTTCGTCTTTGTTAGTGATTATGTAATTTGTTTGTTTATTAAGGATATATATATATTTTTTTATCTGCCTCCCTCCCTTGTCCTCTGTCGCTTGTTTTAATATCTGTCTTCTGTCTTTCTGTCTTTCTGTCTTTCTGTCTGTCTGTCTGTCTTCATCTCCCTCCTCCTCTCTCTGTTCCTTTCTTTCTTTGCCATCTCTCTCTGGACTTCCCTTCCTCCCTCTCTCACTCTTGTCCCTACCCTCTCTCTCCCTCCCTCCTTCCTTCCTGTCTCTCTCTCCCTCCTGTCTCTCCCTCAGGTGGACGCCACAGTTAGCGGGTTGGTCTCCCAGATGACAGACAGACAGAGGAGTTTCGCCAGGTACGCCGAGAAGTTGGGACAGGTGACGGAGGTGAGCCACGCCCTCATCCGCTGCCACGCCTCCCTCAACCTTATACTAGAGAGCCTCGAGACCCTAAATGATTCACTGCCCATCCACGATAGATTAGAGCCTTTTGTCTGGACCACTGGTTGAGATGGGGGGAAGGAGGGTAGAAGGAGAGGAAGAGAGGAAGAGGAAGAGAGGAAGAGGAAGAGGCCTTGAACCCCATCCTCTGAGCTGGGGGGAAGGAGAGGAAGAGAGGAAGAGAGGAAGAAGCCTTGAACCCCATCCTCTGAACTGGAGGGAAGGAAAAATAGGAAGAGGAACAAGGTGGGAAGGAAAGGAAGGATGGAGGTTTAGTAAGGAAGTTTGATAATTAATGAGAGAAGGAAAGGAAGGGAGAGAAAGAAGGAAGGTTTAGGTGAGAAGGAGAAAGGGTAATGAAGGGTAGGAGGGAATAAGGAGGGGGAAGAAAGATGAGAAAAGGAAAGAAGTGAATGGGTGACGAGAGAGGAGGGAAGATAGAAAAGAAAGGAGGAGAGAAGGAAAGATAAGAGAGTTTGGGAGACAGAGAAAAATAGAAAAAGAAGAGAAACAGACGTAAAAACAATAGATAATGAACACCAATAAAGAAAATATCAAAATAAACTAGTGATAAATCAGCGTAATAATGAAAACACAAAGTAAATGGGAATGAGAACCTGTTAAAACTATCCTTGATTCCTATTGGTCACTTGAGTAACTAAATGAAGTTTTTACAGTAATTATGCAACTGAATGGTACAGGACTTAAGAACAATATATTAATTATTAAAAAGTAGTTATATTAAAGTTTATTATTATACATTACATATTTAAACACATGTTACTGAATCATTGTGTTAGTGGATATCTTACCTGCCTTATTATGGGCCCGTGTCTACCTGTGAAGTAACTACGGTATTGTTACAGTGTACAGTATACCCCTCCCAATACAGGATTAATTCTCGTAAACCCTGTCCGCTATTGGGAGGGATTCTGTTAATGAGAAGTCTGCTATTGAGAGGATTTACTGTATGTATTTAATTCAATGGTTAACAATGATACAGGGTGTGTCGGAAAAAAAAGCCTTATAAAATTTCATGTTGATGATCATATCTGCTTATATTACAACAGCTACCATGTATAATTTTTGTGACACCCTGTACATGTTCCTTAACCCTTTGTGACACCCTGTACATGTTCCTTAACCCTTTGTGACACCCTGTACATGTTCCATAACCCTTTGTGACACCCTGTACATGTTCCATAACCCTTTGTGACACCCTGTACATGTTCCATAACCCTTTGTGACACCCTGTACATGTTCCATAACCCTTTGTGACACCCTGTACATGTTCCATAACCCTTTGTGACACCCTGTAGAAGTATGCAATAAATCAGCTGATCATCTCTGCATTATAACACTGGTATATCCCCTGACTGTCTATATTGTGAAGTGGCAGATCCAGGAATATACCAAAAGGGGGTCCAGGAATTTGTGGGTGGGGGGGGGGATGTTAAGGTCATTTGTACTTGATATTAGGAGAGAATTGTGAGGTCAATAGTAATTATTTTTAATATACTAAAATACCTGAGTACAATACTCCATTAAAGTATTGGTATTATCTGTTGAAGAGGGTCCCCACCTCCTAGGAACACACACCCCCAGGACACCACCCCAGGACCCCCACCCCAGGAACCCCCACCCCAGGAACCCCCCACCCCAGGAACCCCCACCCCCAGGAACCCCCACCCCAGGAACCCCCACCCCCAGGAACCCCCACCCCCAGAACCCCCACCCCAGGAACCCCCACCCCAGGAACCCCCACCCCAGGAACCCCCACCCCCAGGACCCCCAACCCCAGGAACCCCCACCCCCAGGAACCCCCACCCCGAACCCCACCCCAGGAACCCCCACCCCCAGGAACCCCACCCCAGGAACCCCCACCCCAGGAACCCCCACCCCAGGAACCCCCAACCCCAGGAACCCCCACCCCCAGGAACCCCCCACCCCAGGACCCCCACCCCCAGGAACCCCCAGACCACCCCAGACTCCCCAGGACCCCCACCCCCTAGGACTCCCCCTAGGACCCCCACCCCAGGACACCCTCCCTAGGGACCCCAGCCTAGGACCACCCCCTAGTACTCCCCAGGACCCCACCCTAGACCCCGCCTAGGACCACCACCCCCAGGACCACCCCAGGACCACCCCCCAGACCACCCCCTAGGACTCTCCCCAGGACCACCCCCCTAGGACCCCTGCCCAGACCACCCTGCAGGACCACCCCTAGGACCCCCCACCCCCAGGATCCGCCCCTGAAGGTATATTTAGGTTATACTAAACAATGTGATGAAATAACATAATCACGTGAAGATCTGACACCTAACCTGACCTGACCTGACCTGACCTAACCTAACCTAACCTAACCAAACATTAACCTAACCTAACCACCATAATGCTAACCTAACCTAACCAGCTTAACCTAACCAAAAAATCAAAACATTAACCTAACCCAACCAGCTTAACCTAACCACCATAATGCTAACCTAACCCAACCAGCTAACCTAACTTAATAACCAAACATTAACCTAACCCAACCAGCTTAACCTAACCACCATAATGCTAACCTAACCCAACCAGCTTAACCTAACTTAATAACCAAACATTAACCTAACCCAACCAGCTTAACCTAACTACCATAATGCTAACCTAACCCAACCAGCTTAACCTAACTTAATAACCAAACATTAACCTAACCCAACCAGCTTAACTCTAACCCAACCAGCTTAACCTAACTCAACCAAATAATGGATTAAAGACAGTTATATAGGACATTAAATATTTTTGTTCCTTTGTTTTTATTCATTATTAAGTTAAAATAATTCTCTCACACTCTTGGCTGAGGTAATATTTGGCCTTGTATAATAACTCTATGTAAATAAATCGATTTTTTTAATGGGGGTTTTATTTTCAGCTTTTTACATATGTTGTATTATGAGGTGTGTGTGTGTGTGTGTGTGTGTGTGTGTGTGTGTGTGTGTGTGTTTGTGTGTGTAGTCAGTGCTTGTTTGTGTGTGTGTGGAGAATGATTAAAACCAGTGGTGGAGAAAATTGACGTCCTAACCTATTGCCAAGTACAGTGTGTGTGCAAACAGGAACCAGTGGTGGACTTACCGTAAGTACGATTATATGATTAAAATACGATTATATGGGATTAAATATGATTATGATTAAATACGATTATATGGGATTAAATACGATTATATGTGATAAAATACGATTGAATGGGATTAAATACGATTATATGGGCTTAAAATACGATTATATGGGATTAAATACGATTATATGGGATTAAATACGATTATATGTGATTAAATACGATTATGTGTTTAAATACGATTATATGATAAAATACGATTACATGATTTAAAATACGATTATATGGGATTGAAATACGATTATATGGGATTAAATACGATTATATGGATTAAATACGATTATATGGGATTAAAATACGATTATATGATTAAATACGATTATGGGGATTAAATACGATTATATGGGATTAAAATACGATTATATGATTAAAACGTTTATATTGATTAAAATACGATTATATGGGATAAAATACGATTATATGGATTAAATACGATTATGTGATTAAATACGATTATATGATTGAAATGCAGATGAAGAAAGAAGTAAACAAAGAAAGAAAATCAAGACAAAAGAAATGAACAACGAAAAGAAAGATAAAAATAAACTCAAAGATAATAATAAATAATAAACAAAAATTCGTAGGTAAAATAAAAAACAGAAAATTTATAATATAACGGCAAATAATATAGTAAATTTAACTTTGTATATTATTCTGAACTGAGGAATATTAACAGGAATTTAACATACGATTCTGTAAGGACTTACCTGGGAAATATTTAGTGGATATTAAAGAAATGGTTAGTGCCTCTCCTCGTCAGTGATGGATGTGTGCTGACGGCTGATGGTAATGACTGACACTGACCTCTCCTGATGACTGACACTGACCTCTCCTGATGACTGACACTGACCTGATGACTGACACTGACCTGATGACTGACACTGACCTGATATATATTAAAGAACTGACAGTGTTAGTGGTTTTTTTAGTGAATTGTTTGTCTGATTTATTTTTAATAGTGTTTGTTCTTTTTGTAATATTATGTTATATTATTATTATTATTGTTGCTGGTATTCTATTTATCTTCCTCCTCCTCTTCCCTCTTTCAAATACAAGAGCAATACATATGCTGTAATATCGACATATGTTGTAGACTGTAGGCAACTCATGTTACTCTTACAGAACTACAGTTGACACCTAGAAGGGCTACAGGGCGTTAAATATATCTACTTATTTAAGAATCTGAGGTTTCAGTTCGATCCGGGGCACTTTTAATATATTTTCGTATATATTGATGTATCACGTATATTGTACACAAAGAGTGTGTGTGTGTGTATGTGTGTATGTGTGTGTGTATGTATGTGTATGTGTGTATGTACGTGTATGTGTGTGTGTATGTATGTGTGTGTATGTACGTGTATGTGTGTGTATGTACGTGTATGTGTGTGTATGTGAGGGCCACGGGTACTCACGGACACACAATACATGAAGTACTGAAGCTATTATATCCACTAATGCCTTGGGGCCTTGCCAGTGGGTTCTATATAGTCTGTAAAAAGTGGGTTAATATAATCTAACCTAATTGTAACGTAACGTAACGTAATTGTAACCTAACGTAACGTAATTGTAACCTAACCTAACGTAATTGTAACCTAACCTAACGTAATTGGTAACCTAACCTAACGTAATTGTAACTCAACCTAACCAAATTGTAACTTGGCATAAACGAACTTAAACTTAATCTGATCTAACTTAACTTAACCTAAATTGATGATTAGAACAGGCTGGGTTAAACAGTAAGTTAGGTTGGGTACATAAGGTTGTTGTTAGAGGTTAGGATGGGTTACAATAATTTAATCTAAAATATAATAACCTACTATAATCTAACTCAAACTAAACCTGACCTAATCTAACTTAACCTGACCTGACCTAACCTCACCTTAATCTAACCAAACTAAACCTGACCTAATCTAACTTAACCTGACCTGACCTAACCTACCTTAAATCTAACCAAACTAAACCTGACCTAATCTAACAACACAGCCTGACCTAACCTACCTTAATCTAGCAAACTAAGCCTGACCTAATCTAACCCGCCTGACCTAACCTAACCTACCTTAATCTAACCAGAAAGCCTAAACCTGACTAATCTAACCTTTGACCTGACCTAACACCTTAATCTAGCAAAGCTAAACCTGACCTAATCTAACCAACCTGCCTGACCTAACCTACCTTAATCTTAGCAAACTAAGCCTTACCTAATCTAGCAACACAAGCCCTATTAACCTAACCTAGCCTAACTAACCTGCAGCAATCTGACAAGCTAAGCCTGACCTAATCTAGCAACCAGCTAATCACAACCTTAACCTAACCTAACCTTGCTAACCTAACCTGCGCTAATCTAACAAACTAAACCCCGAAATCTAATCTAACCTAACCTAGCACAACACTGCTGCATCTGGCAAGCTAAAACTGACTACTAATCTGGCAACACAGAATCTGACAAACTGGCCAAACCTGTGTAATAAATCCCCATAAGTAAAAAACCAAAACAAAAGATAAAGAATAATAAAGAATGATAAATGCTTTACAATAAGAGAATGGGGGGATGAGGAGAAAGAAGAATGTTGGCTAGCAGGAGTGGGCG